GTGTGGTTATTGATAAGGGCCTGTCTTCCTCACTGGACCAAGCAACATACAAGCAAGGGATGGTCCTGCTGCTCACCACTGTTGCCCCCGTTCCCGGCGTGTCGGGCACGAAGCTGGCATCCATCAATACTTGGTTGAGTAAAGGACAAAACGAGCAAATGAGCAAACAAGTGGCTAAACAGGAGGGTGCTGGACTGCCAGGTCCCCTAGTGTGGAGGCCCCAGGGCATGGCGGAGCGCACTTCGATCCAGGCCCACGCCCAAAGCTTTTGCTACAGGGTGTGTGTGCTCACCAGAGAGACAGAGAGACAGAAAGCGAGAAATCGCCCCCCAAGGGGGATGGTTATGCCACCCCTTCTCCAGTCTTTGCTCAGGATTTTGGGCACACACATACGTGCACGCCTGGTGTGAGTTTTAAGACACCGGGTCCAGGACTCAAACCACAGTCGACCATGCGGGAGTCCAGCAATGTAACCAAAACACCATCTGCTACTCCCCCAAAGCTCTTCTACCTCAGAGTCAAGGCCTCCAGGCCAGAGTGTTCAGAGCAAGCTTCAAGCTTAGTAGCGATTCGCTGCAACACTGAAAGATAAACAGGTCTGTCGAGCGCGACCACACACTGCCTCTCTGTGACTGTAGCCCAGAGAACCTAGCTTCATGCAGAGAAGAGGGGAACACCGCTGGTCGCCTGCCCTGGTCCCGTAACTGACCCGAGTGTCTTTTCTGTTGGTGCCAGATCCACTCCATGCCCCAGATCTCTCATGGGGTCCCACTCCAGGTGTCCCACACCCTACAGTGGCTTCCTTTGGGCTTCCAAAGCCCACTTCTGCTGAGCCAGCCCCACTGGCTGTGGCCCTCACTGCCAGGCGCCTGCCCTACAGGATCACTGGCGGGAATAGCTGCTCCGACCTCAACCCGAGCAAGAGCTATTCTTAGAAAGGAACAAATGCATGGCGAGGAGGGGCTTTCCTCTGCACCGACGCTGCCGATGCAGTAAAGTGGCACCGCCTTCCATCCGAAGAGCAGTGGCCAACACTGACATGCCAACGTGTGTATTCCAGCCTGGGGCCTGGGAGTCCTGGAACCCAGAGCCCTGGCCTGCAGTGCACAAGGCAGGAGGTACAAGGCTGCACTGGGGCGTGGGAGCCCGCACCTGGACTCTTGGGCCCACAGCTGCCTGGACTCCACGTCCCCCTTCCCAGCCCACTGACCAAAGTCCCAGCTCCCGGGAATGAGACAGAAATAAAGGCAGAAGCCCCTAGCAGGATCTCTCCCCCAACTCACCCACAGGTGAGTGGCGTCTGGCGATATGGCAGGGCTGACCCTCTAGAGGGCCTCCCAGAGCCAGAGACTCAGCCACAGCCAGGAAGCGGTGGAGGGGAGGACTCTAACAATAAGCAAGACATGCGGCCCTTTCATTTTTCACCAGAAGTGAGAGCTTGGCTCAAGGAGCTGAAGTCCTAGTGCCCAGAAGGGCTCTGCAGCAAGGGCTGCAGGCAAGGGCAGTCCTGGCACAGCAGCCGACCACTTCAGGGCATCCAGCCTTGCCCGGTCTGGGTGGAATTAGAGACGGCCATTTGGAGAAGTTAACGACTTCAGTCCAGGAGCTGACGACTCATCAGAGAACAGCAGAGGGTGGGAACTGAACTTAAGGCCTAAGCTAGTGCCCCTCTCTGTTTCCAGAGGAGACCCTCAAACATCTGCTGGACACTAGCACCATGTGCTTACAGAGCTCCGTTCTTCCAGAACCTTGCCCCACAGAAGCCTTGGAAGACGGCACAGGTGTAGCAGCGCTCCACCCAAGCCTGGGGAGGCTCAGACCTGGGTTTAGTGGCTTCTGTCTGCCGCAAGCTTGGTGACCATGACCTCTGAACCTCAGTTTAACTCCGCTCCAAGGCTGAAACAACCACTTTACCTTAGAGCCATTCAGTGAGAGCAGATGACTCCAAGTACTTTTTAGATCAAAGAGTAAAGAGCCCTCTGGGTGTCCCTTGCATGGGCACACTGGTATGTGTGCCTGGTCACACCTGATCCGAGCAGCCACCTGGCTCTCCCCAGCCTTGCCCCACACCGGCAAATGCAGATAAAATAGACATGCAGGCTACACACAAGCGGACTGGAATTCTATTAGGGAGCCCATTTCTCTCCCGGCACACGATTCCCGACAAGAGATAACCTGAGTCACACTCCTGTCTGGAGCCTGGACGGGAGTGACTAGTGAAGCCAGAAGTCCCGGCTTAGTGGCACGTGATCCCCAGCACGGCAACAGCACAGAACTGGTCACGTCACTCAGGGCTGAGCTGTTTGTGGGGCCAGCCATCCTAGACGGGGAGGAACTGGGGCTGGATGACCACCGAAAGAGCTGAATGAATCCTCATACTGCCAAGTCCCTGGAACCTCCAACAGAGAAGCGGAGGTTTCCTGACTTCCATGCCACTGAACACAATGACCTTGGCAGGCAGCAGCCCCGTGGTGGCCCAATTACAGGAGCTGGTTACCTAGCGGATGCTGGGGGAGGAAATGATCTCCCAGACACTTTGCTCTGCATGTGAAATAAGCCACTTACCCCAGTTCTTCACAGAAGGTCACCAGGGCATCGAAGGCCAAGAGAGTAGCTTTATCGGACGCTTTGTTCCCTCTCTTTTCCTGGAGATGAGAAATAACCACTTAGCAAATCTTACAGAACTGGACTACCTTGTAGCCACAAAAAACGAGAGGGCGAGGTCCCGGGGTCACCTTTGGAAGAGCTCCCTGAGTATGCCAGGCACACACATGCCTGTGACCCAGGGCTGGCTTGGGGTGGATCATGGTGTCGGGACCCACTGGAAGTGCTGCCCATCTTCTTCCCTGTCTCTCATTCATTAAAGAAATAAATCATCTTAAATTTTAAAAAAGAGAAAAGACAAGTTACAAACAGAGGAAGATACTTTTAAAAACAATGTCAGGGCCAGCAGGTGGCGTGGTGTTTAAGGTGCTGGACTCTCACGTGGCCAACCATAGTTCGAGTCCCAGACCTGATGACTTCAAACTCACACCAGGTGTGTGTGCATGCCCAAAACCCCAGTAGAGTGGAGAAGGGATTGTGAAATGGCCATCCCCCCGAGGGGAAGTGATTTCTCACTTTCCCTCTCTCTGTCTCTCTCCTCTCTGTGAGCACACATACCCTGTGGCAAAAGAAAAATCAAGAAAAAAAAATAACGTTGAGGCTAGCAGGTAGCCTGGTGGTAAAGGTGCTAAACTCCCACATGGGCAACCATGGTTTGAATCCTGGACCTGGCAGCTTGAAAACTGCACCAAGTATGTGTGTGTGTGCATGCCTAAAATCCTGAGAGGAGAATGGAGAAGAGATTACAGCGTGGCCATCCCCCTAGGGAGTGATTTCTCACTTTCCCTCTCTGTCTTTCTCTCTGGAGAGTACACACGCCCTATGACAAAAATCTAAAATATAATATTGATAATCATAATCTCAGAGATTATGATTATTATATTTATAAAATGACACTAAGGGGGCGGAGGTTAAGGGCATTGGATTCCCACATGGTTGACCACAGTTTGAGTCCTGGACCTAACGGCTTGCTTTCTCTCTCTCTCATTCTATTCCTCTCTGGTCAAATTAAAATAAATAAAAATGAATAAATGAATAAATAAAGTTAAATAAAATAATTCTTAAAAAAATGACAAATATAAACCAGTGTCCCCAAATTTACCTACATATGAGAACCCCAAGACTGCTGAACAAATTTCCTGGGCCTAGAGATTTGGAGAATTGATATTTTTTTCTTTTATGTTTTTAAAAATAATTATTTATCTTATAGGACCAGCAGATGGTGTAATGGTTACGTTGCTGGCCTCCCACATAGATGACCATGGTTCAAGCCCCAGACTCAGCAACTTGAAACTCATGCCAAGTGCTTGCAAACACACAAGCACGCGCATGCGCAAGACCCCAAGAGGAGAATGGAGAAGGGATTGCAGCATGGCCATCCCCACAGAGGGTGATTTCTCGTATTCTCTCTCTCTGCCTCTCTGGCGAACACACATGCCTTACAGCAAAACTCTCTTTTAAAAAATTATTTTTATTTCATTTATTACTATTATTACTTTTAAATTTGCTACAGGGCATGTGTGCTCACCAGAGAGAGAGGGAAAGTGGGAAAGCAAGCTGCCAAGTCCAGGAATTGAACTGTGGTCAGTCACATGGGAGTCCAGAGACTTAACCCATCACGCTACCTGCTGGTCCTAAGAATATTTATTTTTTTTTAAGAATTATTTTATTTAACTTTATTTATTTTTAATCTTGACCAGAGAGGGATAGAGTGAGAGAGAGAGTGAGCGAGAAAGTGACAAAGCAAACTGCCAGGTCTGGGACTCAAACCTCGGTCAGTCATGTAGGAGTCCAGGGCCTATAACCACTATGCCACCTGATCCCCCCCCCGCGCCCCTGTGTGTGTGTGTGTGTGTGTGTGTGTGTGTGTGTGTGTGTATTTTTTTTTAAATAATTATTTTGTTTAACTTTATTATTATTATTTTCCAGTTTGGTCAGAGAAGAAATAGAGACAGAGACAGAGAGAGAAGGAAAGTGAGAAAGCAAGTCACCAGGTCTGGGACTTGAACCATGGTCGGCCATGTGGGAAACCAGCCCCTCTAGCCACCACACCACCTGCCAGTCCCCCAACTTATATTTTCAATAGGCATCTCGGGTCCCTCTCATGCAAAGGGCCCTGGACTAGCATTCAGGAAGCTATGTAATCTAGAGAACACGTGCACAAGTGCATGTCTGAAGAACACACATGCCAGGGAACCAGCAGTTGGCGTAATGGCTATGTCACTGGACTCCCATGTAGTCGACCGCGGTTCGCGTCCCGGACCCGGTGGCTTAAACTCATGCTGGGCACGTGTGCGTGCGTGCCCAAGATCCCGAGAGGAGAATGGAGGAGAAGGGATTGCGGCGTGACCATCCCCCCTGGAGGGTGATTTCTTGCTTTCTGGCTGTCTGTCTCTGTCTTTCTGGCAAGTGTGCGTGCCCTATAACAAAATTCTCTCCAAAAAAAAAAAAAAAGGGGGGCCAGCAGATGGCATGGCGGTTAAGTGCACTAGACTCCCACATGACTGACTGCGGTTCGAGTCCCAGATCTGTTGGCTTCTTTCTCACTTTCTTTCTTTCTCTCCCACTGTTCCTCTCTGATCAAATTAAAAAATTAATAAGTAAATAAAGTCAAAATTTTTTTTTGAAATTGTGAATTTTTTTTAAATACAGAAAAGTTAAGGCACAGATGGGGACAGCAGGTGGTATAGTAGTTAAGGCACTGAATCCCACGTGCTGACTATAAGGTTCAAGTCCTGGACCCGGAAGCTTGAAAAATATGCTGGATATGTGTGTGTGTTTGTGTGTGCCCAAAATCCCAAGAGGAGGATGGAGGACAAGGGACTGTAGAGTGGCTCTCTCCTCCAGGGGTGATTTTTTTACGTTCTATTGCACTCGCTCTGCCTGTCTCTGACAAGTGCACTGCATCATTTTAACAAAAACTAAAGATCACAACAAAAACGAGATACATATTGACACATTATCTACGCACTTTTTGCTTCTGAAAGGTAACTCATCCCCACCTTCCAACATCCACAAATACATTTCCATCATGAACTCTCTTCTCTAACATGTCCATATCACAGTTTCCTGTTAAATCTCTATTTTCCTTATTAGGACTCTATCAACATTGCCCACAGCTAAACCAGGTGGCTACATTTTACATTCCTCATGACATCTTTTCTTGTCCAACTTTTGTTTACTTTAAAATAAATAGCTGTCTGTTTTTTTGTTTACTTAGATTTCATTGTAAAACTAATTAGCTTATGCTGACATAATGAAAAATTCATTTCAACAGGGGCCACAGCTGTCAGAGTCCACCTTGATTTTTAGGAACTTCCTTTTTTGAGCTTTCTGCACATGGGTGCATCTGGACCTTTTCCTCTGCCTCTTCATTGAGAACATACTTCAGAGCTTGAGACATGATGGCCCAAAGGAAGTTTTTAGAAACTTTGTATCTGAAAATGTCTTTCTATCAAGTTCACACTGAACTGCTTGGCTAATGCTATGGTTTGAATATGTTCCCCCAAGCACAAAATCTGATGAGTCATTGTAACTAATGGTGTTGAGAGGGTAGAGATTTAATCCAACTATGGTACTATAAAGGGAGACTTTGGGAGATGATAAGGATCAGGCCCCCATGACTGACTCCTGGTAGTTTTATAAGGGAAGAGCAGAGACACAGGACACAGACATATGGCTCTTTCTTGCCATATGATGCCTTCCGCCATGTTATCCACCAGCAAGAAGACCCTCACCAGATGTGGCCCCTTGATCTTGGACCTCTAAGCCGTGAGCTAAATAAACCTCTATTCTTAAAAATTACCCAGTTTCAGGTATTCAGTTACCAAGCAAAAGAAAACCAACTAAAATAGGAGTGTAAAAATTACAGATTGGAAATTATGTAGAATCTGGAGGCACCACTTTCTTGTCTTGTTTCTGCTGTTACAACAAAGAAAATGGACGGCTATTCTTCTGGTTGGTTCCCAAGGAGCTTCTCCTTATCCCAAGTTATCTGAAAGTCTCAGTAATGGAATCAGTGTGGAATCTTATAATTCACCATTATTTTTACCTTTTAAAAATCATTATTATTGAATTATATGTATTATTATTATTATTATTCTTTTAATTTGACCAGAGAGAGAGAAAGCCGCCAAGTCCAAGACTTAACCATGGACAGCTATGTGGGAGTCCAGCACCTTAGCCACCATGCCGCCCGCTGGCCTTAGTAAGTTTTACTTGGAATGCTAATTGGTCTCTCTCTTTCTTTTTTAGTTAATTTAAGACTCTTGTTTTTTAAATTTACTAGATGGCAAATGCATTCACTGGGAAGGGGGAGAGAAAGAAAGCCCCTCTCACAGGGCATGGTTATACCACAATCGTTTCTCCTCCATTCCCTCGGCTTTTGAAATTGGGGGCATGCACCCACACATGCCTAGCATGTTCTCAAGCCACCAGGTGCAGGACTCGAACCACATGGTTAGCCATGTGGGACCTGGCTGCCCTAATCACGAGACCATGGGCTGACTCATGTTCGTAACTTGTAATTAAGTACCTTCTATCCAATTACTATACCAAAGCCTCTTCCTTATCTAATTTCAATTTCAGAGTTAATCACGCTCCCTCAGCTCACACCAAACTATCATTCTCGGTCCACACAAACTCCTCCCTTCTCAATCCCTGCTTTACAGTGCCCTTTAGCCCATTCATTCTATTCACATTTTCTTAAGCACTTACGTATCACTGGGACAGGCATTACAGACACAGAAAACAAAGGCTTCCACTCTCATGGAGCTTGCATTTGAACAGTAGACGGAAAATAAGCAAAAGTATGCCAAATAGTAATAAATACATTTTTCTTTTCCAAAGAGATTTTTCCTATAGGACGTGTACACTCACCAGAGACAGAGAGAGAAAGTGAGAAATCACCCTCTGGGGGGATGGCCATGCTGCAATCCCTTCTCCTCCATTCTCCTCTCGGGATTTTGGGCGCGCAGTGTCAGTTTCAAGCCTCCGTGTCCGAGACTCGACTCATAGTCGGCCATGTGAGAGTCTAGGATGTCACCATTATGCCACCTACTGGTCCCTGTAATTTTCTTTCTTTTCTTTTTTCACTGTGGCTAGCTCCATGGTGAGCAGTAATGTGCCGCTCAAGAGAAGCCAGAACCCACACTGGGACCAGCAGATGGTGCAATGGTTACATCGCTACTAGATCTCTATAGGGTCTTAGGGGTTTTCTAAGCAGACATCTGCTGTTGACATTCCTACCTGCTATTTCTTCTCTCCTGTTCTCATCCTCGTAAGTTTATTACGTTTTATCTCTCTGTTGTCATTTAGACCCGGATTAGAAGTAAGTATTTAAATTCAATCTGCTGCTTTTTTAATTTCCAGAGGGAGAGTCAACTCATCAGAGAGACAGAGAGAAGAAAACACCCCCGAAGAGAGTGTGGCCACACCGCAATCCCTTCTCTATTTCTCATCCTGCTGGGACTTGGGGCGTGCATGCACACCACACACACACACACACACACACACACACACACACCAGTGTGTTTTTTAAGCTGCTGGACCCAGGATTAAAATAGCTGCAGCCACGTGGGACCTGACTTCTTCAACCACTGGGCTATGGGCTGGCCCATTATGCACAAGTCTATATAGGCCCTTTCGTAACTTTCCTGCATACAGTATTACACTGCGGAGGGGTTTACCCCAATTGACTCACGCGGATGTTAGTGCATCTTTTCTTTTTTTAGGGAGAGATTTTTGCTATAAGGAGCATGTGCTTGCTGGAGAGACAGAGAGACAGGAAATCACCCCCCCGGGGGGATGGTAATCACACCGCAATCCCCTCTCCAGTCTCCTCATTGGATTTTAGGCATGCACAAACACACAACTCACATGAGTTTTAAGCTGCCAGATTCAGGCTTTGAACCGTGGTAGACCACGTGGGAATCCAGCAATGTAACCATTACACCATCTGCTGGTCCCAGTGTATTTTTCTTTCTTTCTTTTTTTTTCTTTAGAATTATTTATTTAATTTTATTTATTATTATCCTTATTTTAACTTGCTCACCAGAAAGAAAGAGAAGGAAAGTGAGAAAGCAAGCAGCCAGGTCCTGGCCATGTGGGAGTCCAGCACCTTAACCACCATGCCACCTGTTGGCCCCCCTACTGTATCATTTTTAACCACTCAAGCCCACTCCACTGTGTGACTAAAATACTGTTTACTTATCCATTACCCTACGGAAAGAATCAGATTTCACTATCACAGCATTGCAAAAACATACTTGTTCATCGTAGTACATGTACACCCTCGGACACTGACAACTTGTCCATCTAGAAGTGGAACTACAGAATAACAGCACAGTATCCCCACTTTACAGGTGTCACCTCATTTCAAAGCAGTCACACTGGTTCATAATAAGCTACCCGGGACTGGAGAGCAGTGGGTTTGGATGGAAAGGGCTCTGACTTGCCAGGACTTACCTGGAGTTTTGCTATTTCCTTCTTGATCAGGAAGCTGACTTGGTCCCGGTCATTCCTGGAGTAATAGAGGCGGCACCAAGAAGGCTTCCCGTCCCTGCCGGCCCGGCCAGACTCCTGGTAGTACCCAGCCATAGACTTGGCGATATTCCAGTGGGCAACAAACCTGTGGGGTCCAAAAGGGCAAGCAGTGTCCAGCTCTGCCCAGGGAGACGGGGCCCTGAGTCAGCAGAGCAGGGTTCTCTCCACAGTGATGAGGAGCGGGAGGCTGGCAGGCAGGGAAGCAGAGACGGCTCCAGAGTAAGTGTGGCTCAGACACCTGTGGCCCATCCACGGGACTCCTGCCATGGAGCAACCCAGCTTGAAGCCGCAGCAGGAGACCAGTCAGCAATTCCAGCACATATTTGGAACCCAAAATACTCACAGAGGACCAATGGAAAAAATACCAGATTTAGAGAAGCAAAATTAGGCTCTGCTATTTATGAGCTATGCAAATTTGACCAAGCCCTTTATTTCCCTTTGAAGAGGTGAAAGGGATACTATCGTATAAATGCCCACTATGAGACAATTTATACATTTCTCATTTCACTGTTACAGTTGCCATCACGTGAGGTAGCCCAGTCTATAGATGGTGAACTTCAGATTCAGGGAGGTAAACTTGCACAAGGTCAGTTAGGGGACAGCAGAGCCAGTATTTGAGCCTAGCAGCACATAACCTCAAAGTTGGTTCCTAACAAGAAAGAGCAGACCAGGCTTCAACTCTGCTTCCCAGTGTAGACCACCGACTAGTTCCTAACTAACTCAGGCTCAGTGCGAGCTCAACACAACCTCGCATGCCGAAGAGCTCCGCTCGAATCACACAGGCGTTACTGCCTGGTTAATCAGAAAAAAGGGCTTCAGACAGGAGCCCAAGATGTGTCCAGAAAGTGAAGCGATGGCTGGAGGTAAATGAGTTCCCAATAGTGGCCAGGGTAGGGCTAGGAGGGATGCGCCCCGAATTTGGTTCTAGAAGGTCAGTAACAAGGAACGATGGGTAATAAGAACCTTGCCTTTACCTTTGACTTCCCATGGGAGTCACTGAAAATTGTCACTTTACTCAGGCTCCCTGGCAGGGTCTACCTACCAGGCGAACGGGGCTGCAGTAAGAAATGAGCCTGACGGCGGGTGAACTGGCCCGGCCTGGGAGCAGGCACATAGGACTTGTCAGCGTCTAGGCTGTGTACCAGGACTCTCTCCTGGGGCTTCTTCCCATGGCCCCAGAAGGAGCACTGGACAGCCCACCCTGAGCCAGGCCCACAGCAGGAAGGGAGGGCAAGAACCACTGCTCACCTGACGTTGGCTTTATCCACTCCCATCCCGAAACTAATGGTCGCAACAATTACGGGGACCCGCTCCTCCATCCACTCGCTCTGTACCAGCGTTCTTTCAGCAGCCTTCAGCCCTGTAGGAGAGGGGAGGTGGGGCAGGGAACTTGCATTTCCCTTGGCTTAGCTCGGGGTCTGTCTTAGGTGTGACACTGTACTGGGCACTTTACACTGAATCCGTCCCCGCCAAGCTGTATGACCTCGGTCCAGACACCTGATGTCACTGAGCTCAGCTAATAAATGTAATGTCACTAGCCCACGAGGGACACGGAACACTTCAATAAATGTGAAGGCCGTGACTGAAAGCCAAGCCCATCAGCCTTCAAAACCTGTGCTCTTTCTGGGCTTAAAAGAACCTCATCTGGGTTTTACACTTCTGAGTGGGGACAGGGTGAGAAAAAGAATGTGGGAGTCACAATGTTCACTTCAGACCTCACTGTGTCCAGACTCCTTTCAGTGGTCTTAAGTAAATCATTTTAGCCTGGGTGCATCAAAGAATATAACGGTCCACCTGATTATCAGGATTCGTAAGGACCTTGAGACCTGCTGAGAGGCCTCTGAGGATGAAGAGGGCCACGCGACCTGGCGCACTTACCTGCATGGTAGGCCTTGGCACTCACGCCCCTACAACTGAGCTCTATGGCCAGCTGTTCACAAGCCTCTCGAGTCCTGCAGTAGACAATGCCACAGCCGGACCCCTGCAGTGGGGCACACGGGAAGAAAACAAGTCAGGAAAAGTGAAACTATCGGCCAGCTAGAATGTGCCCTGCTTTAAACACAGTTCTGAACTCTTTCTCTCAGCCTCACAGTCTCCTCTGAGGCAGGATGCCCAGGATTCTGCCACCTTATAAAAAGCAGGGCCAAGATACCAGCAGTGTGGTGGTTAAAGTGACTGGATTCCTCATGGCCAACTGCATAGATCAAATCCTGGACTCAGCAGCTTGAAAAACACTCCAGGCGCATGTGCATCCATGCCCAAAATTCTGAGAAGAATGAGCATGGCCACCCCACCACCCCCCGAAGGTATTTTGTCACTCTCCCTCTCCACCACTGTGTCTCTCTCTGGCGAGCGCACGTACTCTGTAACAACAAAAGAAGTGGGACTAAGCAGCTCAAAACCCAACATGCTTACTTCTTCTGCCTCCTCCCTGCAAACCCTGTGTAGCCTCCACCGGGGCTGGCTTCTTGCCATCCACAGAAGGATCCAGGACAAGGGAACCCCAGTAAGGAGGACAGTACCAGGACACCAAAGGAACAGCTCCCTTTGTGCACAAGTCCTTTCAACTTTTTTTTTTTTTTAAGAGAGATTTTTGCTATAGGGCACGTGCACTTGCCAGAGAGACAGTCAGAAAGTGAGAAACTGCCCCTCAGGGGGGATAGCCATGCCATAATCTCTTCTTCATTCTCCTCTTGGGACCTTGGGCATGTATGCACACATGCCCACCGTGAGTCTAAGTTGCCAGGTCCGGGACTTGAACCATGATCAACTACGTGAGAGTCCAGTGATGTAACCATTATATGATCTGCTGGTCCTCCCCTTTGCACACAACTCTTAAGAAGCCTGGCTAACAGGCTGGCCCTGCAACCTAGTGGTTATGAGCACCAGATCCCACATTACTGACCGTGGTTCAAATCTCAGCCCTGACGGCTTGAAACGCACACTAGGAGCATGTGCATGCATGCCCTAAATCCCATTAGGATGCAGAAATGGGAAAGGGATTGCAGCGTGACCATGTCCCACTTGGGGGTGCTTTCTCCCTTATTCCCTCTATCTCCCTGACAAATACACACACCTTCTGGCAAGCAAGAAAAGAAAGAAACACAGAAATAAAGGAAGAAAGAAAGAAAGAGGCCTGGTTAAGGAAGGTGGACAAGGCAAAAGTTTTAGAAAGCCACTATCCATCCCTATGCTGCAATAGCACGCCGCTTCTCTAGCTACACCGTCTCCCCAACCTGAGTGCCTCACCCCTTCATCAGCCTTCTGTCCAAGAGCCTTAAGGCAGAAGTCCCTCAAGTTCCCATAGGGATCAGAAATGAGCTCCTTGAACTGCACGTCATAGAAGAGATTGGCCCGGAAGCAGGGAGTCTTAAAGGTGGCCACTGGTTGCTTCAGGTGAAGGGCAGCAAACACGTCCTCTTGGACCTGCGGGGTAGCTGTGGCGGTCAGAGCCACACATGGGGTATGCCCCAGGCGAGAGCGCAGGACACCCAGGCGCAAGTAGTCAGGACGGAAGTCGTGCCCCCACTGGGACACGCAATGAGCTTCATCCACCACCAAGTAAGACAGCAGGTGGCGGGACAGCAGGGAGTTTAGGGTGGGCTGGAAGGAGGCAGAAGCTGCCATCTCCGGGGTGATATACAGAAGCTTGGTCCGGGGTTTGTCTTGCTCCAGGTCACACAGCAGCTCCTTCCTCTCCTGTGCTGAGAGCTTTGAGTTCAGGGAACTCACTGGTACCTTCAGGGCCAGCAAGTGGTCCACTTGGTCCTGAGGGCAGAAAGGAATGGGGCCACAGGGGGGAGTATAATCGGCCCTCTGGACCTGGTGGGTCCCAGCAATAAAAACCTCCTCCACCACCCTCCAGTATGTCTTCTCCTTACAAAGAAGTATGGAAGGTGCACTGGTTGGCAGGACAGGATCTGGGTCAGACAGACCTGGGTTTAATCCTGGCTCACTTCACTGCCACCTGCTCTTTGGCTTTCTCTTAACCCCTGAGGCTGTTCCCGTGTTCTCTCATGCTCTCTCCCTACTATAACAATAGTAATTACCTAATAAGATATTGTAAGAAATAAGTGAAGTTTAACATCTCAAAGTTGAAATTAATGTACATAAAACACTGAGCACAAAGCCTGGGGCCCAGTGAACATTCACCGAGTATTACAGTCCCCCATCTCTCAGCCGTTCTTCACGATGGGTGGCTCTTAATCACCCAGCCATGCTTCTTCAGTTCTGATTCTATCAGACCACCTGCAGGCCTTAAGGACAGAACATCTGCAAAGCAGATGTTCACAAGGTCCCAACTAGTTTATCTTTTTTTCCTGTCTCACATGCATACTTGTGCCAAAATGAAGCAGGACATCAAACATTATCCATATCGATTTAGCTATCTACACATATTTCTATCCTAACATCACAATCACACGT